CTGTGGCGGATTTGTCTATTCTCTCTCATTCGTCACATTGATTGCTTTCTCCGATCATTTATTTACGTCACTTGGGGTTTATAGATATTTATTTCACGTTTGGGTTATAATCCGATGCTAGTTTATCTACTCTGGTGCTCTACTTATAGTCCTGCTCTTTTCTTCTCAATATTTTGTTATGAAAAATTTCAAACATAAAGAATTTGAAGAAACATTCCAGTGGGGAAAACCCCAAAGAATCCAATTATAAGGTGGGCAAAGACGCTGAGTAGACATTTTTCTAGAGAAGACATACAGACGGCCAATGGGTTCGTGAAAAGGCACACGACCTCACTCCTCACGAGGGAAATGCAAATCAAAACCGCCGTGAGATATCACCGCACACCCGTCAGAAGGCTAGTATCAAAAATCCCCAAGAGACAACAAGTGTTGTTGGTGGAGTTGAGGAGAACAGAGAACCCTCCTGCGCTGTTCATGGGAATGCTAACTGGTGTAGTCGCTGTGGAGAACAGTACGGAGACTCCTTAAAACATTAAACAGAAGTGCCCGTAATCCAGCAAACCCACTTTGGGTATTTATCGGAGGAAAACAAACCCAGCAACTCAGAGAACTCCTGCCATTTGTGACAACATGGTTGGACGTTGAGGGCATGATGCTAGATAAGTCAGATAAAGGTAAATATTGTATGTTCTTACTCATACGTAGAATAAAAACAAACAAACACATAGACACAGAGAACAGACTGGTGGTTGCCCAGCAGGGGGATGGGAGGGAAGGGGTGGCGTGTGACTATAATGAACTACCATGATGTAGAGTTCCGAGTTGTTAAGAGAGATTTTGGAAGTTCTCGCCAAACACACACATACAAAATGTGACTGTGTGAGGCCATGGATATGTTAACTAATGCTACTGTAATCATCATTTTGTAATATACACGTATATCGAATCATTACATTGTATACTTTAAACGAATACAGTGTTCTCTATCAATCATATCTCGGTACGGCTGGACAAAACAAGGACTGCCATGGTGAGTATCCAGATACCTGCCGCCTAGATTCTACCTTTAATATTTTGCTTTGCTACATATCTGTCCCTCCCTCGATCCATCTTATTTTCTTTTTTGATCCATTTCAAAGGAAACTGAAGACCCAGTACACCCCCCTTTCCACAATACTTAAGCATGCATAGGATTAGCTAGAGTTCTTATTTTCTTTGGAGGTAAAATTTGCAGTAAATGTACAAATCTTAGGTATAGTACAAATGCAGATCTCCGTGAAACCCAAATCCTTATTAAAATACAGAACGATGCTCCCAATCCATCCCTTCCCAGTCTGTCCTGTCCCCACCTACCCAGAGGTAACCCTTGCTCTGATTACTGTTGGTACCATAGGTTCGTTTTGTCTGTTCTAGAACACCGTCCTAATGGACTCATGCAATATATACCCAACCACCTGGTTAACCTGGTGAGTATCCCTGAGTATGAGTCCTGGGGAGTACATGCTGAATTCTTAAGCCAGGACCTGCTCTGGTCTTCCACCAGGAGAGATAGGTCAAGAGGCCTTCCTGGAGGAGGTGGCCTTCCTGCCTCTCTCTGGCTTCCTTTCTGCCTCTCTGGGCTGCTCCTCTGCAGCCTCTTCGCGGGCCCCTTCCTCTGCTTGCTGGTGCTGCTGAGCAGCTGGCTAGACCAGAGCTTATAAATCAGCCAGCTCCAACCCACAGACAGGTTTTATTTGGCCCACACAGTATTTTTTTTTTTGTATTTGAATTAGTTTTAACATTTAAGAGCTGAGGGATTTTGCTTTTAAAAATATCCAGATTTCTGTCTTCTCCTGGAAATTTGAAACACCTGGCAATGCTGTGTCCCTCTTCCCATATGGCCATCATTGGTTGAAACTAGAGAGGAACCACCCCATTCTCTGAGCCCTCCTCCACTGGGGGGTTCTCAGGCACCCCAGCCCTGAATTAACAGCTACAGAACTTGAGATGGTGTTGTAGTGGTATTCAGCCAAAAACCCTAGAAATGCTCAGGGCCCACCCTGGGAAAACCATTTATCTTTCCCAGGAGAAACAGACTCAGAGCAAGGGCAGGAGAAGGTCAAAGAGAACAAATTTCTATCAGACAGCATCTCAGCTCTCCCATTGACTGGGATGGATGCCTCGGGCTTAATCAGCAAAGGCCAGAAGCAATGCCCTACAGAATACAGACTTTCTGGACCCAGACTGTGTGTGAGAGAGACAGAGATAGATACAAGAGAAGGAGCCAGAGGGAGAAAGGGAGATTCAGTCAACAAACCTTTTCCTTAAGGGGAGTGAAAGGGAGTGGCGTGTGCCTGTGTTTGTTTGGGCCTGTCTGTCCGTCTGTTCACGCGTGCACACATGCTGTGGGGAGGGTGTGGGAGTAAACCCTGCGCCTCCATCCCCACCCCAGGAAGCCAATACAAGCTACTTCTGCTTAGTAAGAGTTACTCCTCATCTAACACCAACCCAGATTGTTCTCTAAAATTCAAGGTTAGTGTTCCTCAGATTGCAGGTCAAGACCTATTAGCCAGTCATGAAAAATGTAGGTTGTGGCCAGATTTTTATTTCTGAAATAGAATAAGCATAGAAGAGGTCTGAGATAATTGTGCTTAGTGGAGGTCAGTTTTGTTCATGGAACTTTTCACTTTGTATTTGTGTGTACACGTGTGTGCGCACCAGGTCATGTTGTAAAATGTGTTTCTCAGGGTAGTTGAAGTCCCACAAGTTGGAAACCCATCAGTTTCAAATATCCATATCGGGGAGGGTGGACATAAAGCCAGAGGGGGAAGACTTGAAAGCAGGACTAAGATGGTTTGTTTGACCTGAACCCGAGGGCAATAGGGAGCCACTGAGTGTTCTTGAGTCACTAAGTCACAATGGCCACCTTACCCCACCTGCAGATACATGAGCCCAACTACACACATTATGGAATTTGGAATTCTTCTTCCCCTTAGCAAGTCCCGCTGGTTCTGCAAACATCAGCTGCAGACATGATGTAGAAGATTATCCAACAAGGGCTTTTAGGACAGGCCAATCTCACCTTTCCCCCTCATTTTACAGATAGGGAAGAAGAGACTCCAAAAAGGGAATTCACTTGCCTGGGGTCACTTAGCCCAGCTCATGGATTCTCATCTCGGGAGCTTTGTCATCTCTAGGCTCCATGCAGCCCATCTAATTGGGGACAGTGGAGTACATGACTCCAGCCACTGGAGTTGGAATTGGAGGTGGGCTGGAGAAGACCAGGATAGAGAGGATGAGAGAGAGAGTGTGTATGGGTATGTGTGTGGTGAGGGCAGTTATCCTCACTCTTCCCTGTCTCCATCACCACCATCACTACCATCATCATCACTGTCACCACTATCACCATCACCATCATCTCCCTCATCATCACCATCACCATCACCACCATCATCATGACTATCACCATCTTCCTCATCTCCATTACCACCATCACCACCTTCATCATGACTATCACCACCATCATCACCACCCCATCTTCCTCATCATCACCATCACCACCATCTCCACCACCATCACCATCATCTCCACCACCATCACCGTCATCTCCATTACCATCACCATCACCACCATCATCATCACTATCACCACCATCATCACCACCTCCATCTTCCTCAGCTCCATTACCACCATCACCACCATCATCATGACTATCACCACCATCATCACCACCTCCATCTTCCTCACCATCACCATTACCACCATCTCCATCACCATCACCATCACCATCATCTCCATTACCACCATCACCACCATCATCATGACTACCACCACCATCACCACCACCACCATCTTCCTCATCATCACCATCACCACCATCTCCATCACCATCACCACCATCTCCATCGCCATCATCTCCATTACCATCATCACCACCATCATCTTGTGACTATCACCACCATCATCACCATTACTATCATTATTTTTCTCCTAGCAATGGGATGGGCAACTGCTATCCCCAGCCCTTTCTTACCAGTCTGGGGCACAATATTGGGATGAGAAAGGTGGAGTACTAACCTTCTAGGAGAGGCCAGGTGTGGAGACCCCAGGTGGCAAAGTCTAGCCTAGTTCCACAAGGGTGGGAAGGATCCCTGGGTCAGATTCCCAGGAATCTTAGTTTTAGCTCCAACATTGACTGCCCGGGGGGTGATGTCAAATAGCTGGGTCCCCTCCAAGGGTCTCTACTTTCCCACGAATCAGTGTGGTTCAGTGGGCTCCTGTGAGACTCTTATAGACAGCAGCTGGGAAAAATACTCTGTGAACTGTAAAGGGAATGGCAAGAAGCGGGGGTCCTTGTGTACATTGAAGTAATCCTTAAAGAGTCCGGAGAGGTTCTTAAGCCCATGGCAGGCATTCTTATAAAGATAGGAGGGGTCCCTATTTCTAGATAGATGAGCGGGGTTCTTCTTGGGATGGGCGGGGTCCTTATACAGGTGTGAGGGGTTCCTTAACACCGGTATGCAGGCTTACATCCTGGAGTGGTCTGCACACATAGGAAGGTTTGTGTATAGAAGCTGTCTTCTTAGGCAGATTTTAAAAGGTGGGGGTTTTACCCAAATGACAGCCTTTATAGATGAAAGGACGCTTACACACAGAAGTGAGGGTTTTTTTTTTTTAATTGATGCAACTGACCGTTATTTGTAAAGTGCTATGCAAATATTTAGTGACCTTTGCACAGACGTAAAGGTTCTTCCTAGAGATAAGGGAACCTTATGCTGCTCTAGGGTGATTGCATGGTACGAGCGGCCTCATTTGGACGGTGATGTCGCTGGACAGCGTGGTACCTGCGCCGGCCGCAGGTGGGAGCCGTCACTGAGGGGCGGAGCGCTGGGGGCCCGCTGGCAGTCCCCCCGGCAGCCACCAGAGGCAGCACCGTCCCCGTCTGGCCCGCACCTCCCCCCTCCTCCCCCAATCTCCGCCCCCCACCCTCTTCCTCCCCCTGCTCCTCTCCCCTGAGCCCCGCCAGACCCCGCTCCGCCCGCGCCCCGCTCCACTGCCGAGGCTCCCGCAGCCCCGGCGTCGGCCCCGCTGCGCCCTCCCCGGGGGCTATGGGGGCGCCCCCGGGCTACCGACCCTCCGCTTGGGTGCATCTGCTTCACCAGCTGCCCCGCGCCGACTTCCAGCTCCGCCCGGTACCCAGCGGTTTCGCGCCCCAAGAGCAAGAATACCAGCAGGTGGGAGCGGGTGCGGGGTCGTGGGTGCGGGAGCGGAGGGGGGAGCCAGAGCTTATGGGTCCCGAGGGAGAAAGGGGCTGGGTGACAGATTCCTCTGTTCTCCGGGGGTGGGGGCCGAGCCCGGACTTTGGGGTACCTGAAAGGAAGAGGAGCATGGGGCTCCCATACCTGGAGGTTCCCCTGGGACAGGCGCTGGGAGACCAGAGCCCTGACTTCTTAAATAAGGAGGGGCCAGGGGTCTGGACCTCTTAGTCACAGAGGAGGGATGGGACCGGGGAGCCTTGGAGTCCAGGGTCTCTGAGAGCTGCCTGGGAGGCTAGCCTCCAGGGTCATCAGGGCGATAGGTCCACTCTCCGTGTCCTGAAAGATGCCCCCTCCCCTCATAGGATCCAGGGTGTCCAGTTAAGGTGGGACTCAGCAGAGACAGGAACTGATAATGGTGGAGAGGAAGAGGCTGGGGTGCCCCAGTTCAGGACAGGGTTGAGACCTGAAATGGGGAAGGGGCCAGAGGATGTAGGGCCAGGGCTGGGAAGACAAGGCAGAGGTGCTGGAAGAGGAAGCTGCAGCTAGTCCCCAGCCCCAGGACAGAAGGGGGGCAGGGTGCTTGGGTGGGGGGCGGTGGAAACGAGGTTCCATCTGGGGACCAGAGGATGACAGAAATGTGTCCGGAGGGTGTGGGGCTGGGGTGGGAACCTTGCAGAAGCAGGGGTCCCTGGGGAAGGGGGCCCAGCCTGGGTCAGCTCCAACAGGGGCGAAAGAACTGTCCCCTGACCCAGTTTAATTCAAGTCCTTGACTTTGAGATTAATGAGGAGCAAGGCTTAGCTGAGCCGGGGAAGGGTGGGGGAGTGTGTGCATGTGAGCGCGGGGGGGGGGGGGCGCCTGGGAGCCCTGGTGGAGCCCTTGGATGGGTCCTGGGCCCTGCCTCTAGGGTCCAGGCCCCTTGGATCTGGTTTAGGAAGCTCCTGGGATAAAGGGCTGGGGATTGGAGAGCTTGGGAAGCATGGGGGGCGGAGGTCCCAGAAAAGCAGAGAGGGGGATGTGTGCTGTTTTCTGAGCTATTTGGGTCATGGCTGTACCAGTCGGCCGCGGCTCCTCCCTGCCTTCTCCACGCTGCCCTCTCCCCACCAAACAGGGACGGCCATCCCCTTGCCCAGGGCCTGTGGTGTACACAGTCACGACCTCTAGGGCTGGTCACCCACGCCCGCTCACAGCGGAGACCTGCCCACACAGCCACGCAGGTTGCTGGCCCCAGGCTCTGCCCCAGGCGCTCGGAGAGGCTCACTCTGCCCCCTCACCGACAGGCAGGGTGACAGCACTGGGACAGGCATGGAGTCACATGACCCAGAAGGGGACACTACCCCCCAGGAAGATCACCACTGTGGGCACAGCTGGGAAAAGTCAGGCACTGGGTGACACAGGGCTGGAAGACAAACTCACACACTCACTTGTAGACACACACACAGCCACATATCCATACACATGTTTACACACACACACACACACACCATGTTTACTTGTATACACAGTGACACACGTTTACACATGCACACACACTCCTGCCCTCACTCACACACTCACACACCCCACATTCACTTGTATACACACTGACACACATTTACACATTCACACACAATTCTTGCCCTCACTCACACACTTACACACACCCCATATAGTCATATACACACACCCCACACTCATTTGTGTACACACAGACACACGTTTACACATGCACACACATTCCTGTCCCCCCACACAGTCACATATACATACCCTACACTCACTTGTATACACACAGTCACATATCCATACACACACACTGAAACGTTTGCACATTCACACTCACACAATTCCTGCTCTCATTCACACCCCACACAGTCACATACATACAACCCACATCCACTGTGTACACACGAACATTCACACACACACACACTGACACACGTTTACACATTCACGCACATTCCTGTCCTCACACATTCACACACACTCCACACTCACAGTCACCTATAGTAAACACACACACAATTCCTGCTCTCATTCACTCACACATTCACACACCCCAAGCTCACTTGTATACACTCACACATTTACACATTCTCATCCTCACTCACACACACACTCACACACACATACATACTCCTACACACTCACATACCACATTCACTTGTATACACACTCACACACATTCTTACACACAAATTTGCATATACACATACATTCACTCATATATAACACACACATATTCACACACACACACACACACACCCCATGGAGGACCACTCAGACTCAAAGAATCATGCCCAGAAACACACAAATGCCAACAGATAACTCTCACACCTGTAGACATAGGTGTTTCCACAGGGACACTCATTCGCTCTCTCTCCCTCACACACACAGGTGTAGTATCTCATGGAAGATAAACACAGTCAAAGAGAAAACATCCAGTTTTATAGCCATAGGAACAAATATACCACACAGTTGTGTCATTCGCACACATACACACTTGTGTCCTTCACATGTGCACACACACACACACACTCCAGCCACACTGCAAGGACAAAGGCAGAGACACACTGTGGTTTACAGGAAACAGCATTAGTGAGTCTGGAGGGGTGACTGTGTTCTGGATATTGTCCCTACCTGCTGTTTGGCTCAAGGTAAACCCAGTCCCATTCTGGGCACCTCTGAAGGTGACAGGACCTCACAGCCGCTCCTGTAAAGTCTTGCCTTGTAGAGAGCCCTGCTGTCCTGCAAGGTTTTTCCAATGACACATACCTGTTCCCCACCACTGCCACCCCCCACCCCCGCCTCTGCCCTCCCAGCTTTTGGTTCTCTGTCTCCTTTCTCTGCATCTCTGCTTTTCCACTCCTCTCTGTTTCTCTCCCCCACCCCCACTCTGTGTCTCCCTGTCTCCAAGTCTCCATCCCTGAGTCTTGCACACACACTCTGTCATGGAGGCTGTCACGCCCCCCTCCCCGTGAGTCCCTGGGTGACAGACTCACACTGCGGTGGGTGTGCGGAGCTCAGCACAGGGGAGTGAGCGAGCAGTGAGTGGGGAGGACCAGCAAGGAGGAGGGAAGAGGAAGTCTGCCGCCCCTGACTTCACACCCGTCTCTAGGAACAGGCACCCCCGTCCGCCCCCTGATCCCACCTAGTTCCGGACGCAGGTCTTAGAAGGTTCCTAGGAGCTGCTCTGTTCCAGCTGCCTGGCTGGAACAGAGGACACAGGGGATGCCTGGGATGATGAGGACACAGTCTCAGAGAGGGGAAGGCTCCTGCTGAAGGTCACACCCAGAGCAGAACTGGACTCCAAGCTTTGGGCCTCTCAGCAGGAAGCTCCCTCCAGTGACCCAGCCCCAAACTGCTGAGCCCCAGCAGCCAGCCTGGGAGGGGCTGGGGACCCCATCTTTCCCCACAGACCTGGAAACCAGAGGCTGGGCTTGGCCCCCCTTTCTAGCCAGGGCTGCCTTCCACCTCCGCTGAAGTCCCCGATTCAGGACCTCCGGCCATGCAGAGAGGGAGCAGCGAGCCCCTCTGAGGCCTCACGTCTCCCCCTTCCCCAGGCCCTGTTGCTGGTGGCGGCCTTGGCAGGCCTGGGCTTGGGCCTGAGCCTCATTTTCATTGCTGTCTACCTCATCCGCTTCTGCTGCTGCCGGCCCCCAGAGCCCCCCGGGGCCAAAAGCCCCCCACCTGGGGGAGGTTGTGTCACCTGGAGCTGCATCGCTGCCCTTCTCGTCGGCTGGTAATGGGGCCCCAGGGTGGGTGGGGAGTGGGGAAGGGGCTCCCCACAATCTCGGCTGGTCTTCCTGCGAGTGCCCTAGAATCCCACCTCAGCCTTGCCATGCAGGAAGAAATGCTCCCATTTCTCGGATGGACAGACTGAGTTTCAAGAAGAGGAGGGACTTCCCAAGGGCAATCAGGCCGGCAGGAGGGGGTAGGGGTTAAGAGCTAGGGTTTGGTGGCTTTGTCACCGAAGCGCTGCGCAGCTAGGGGAGTGGTGGAGTCAGTTACTCCAGGACTCAGTTTCCACGTCTCTGAAATGGACATTATAGTAACACCCACCTCCTATTCTTACTTATGGTGGGATTAAATGAGAGAAGGTACAGAGCCTGGATCACAGTCCTACTCGGGGAGCAGTAACGCTTGATATCTATCATTCATTAATTCACTCGCTCATTCATTCATTCCACAACTATTTCTTGCGGATCCACTCTGTGCCGGGAGATACTGAACTGGCCAGGCGAGGTTCTTGCCCTCCTGGAGCTGATGGTCTAGTCCAGGAGACAGACAGCAAAGTAGTGTTTGCAGTCCAGGAGCAGAGCTGGGAGTTCAGACCTGAGCTGGTCTAACTCCTTCCCACTAACCCTGGGCAAGTCTCGGGGAGAGGGACAAAGCAACTTTTCAAGGTCCCTTCGCCCAAGTGGCCAGTGGAGATTCAGACCCGCAAGCCCCTCTCAGAGCCCGGGAGGGGGCTGGGGGGTTCTGTGCAGCGGGTGGGCACCGGGGGTTAGAGAGGAGGGAGCACTTGAGGACACGCCAGCTCACCATTTACCAAGAGCCGGCTCCAAGCCCAGCCCTCCCTGTCAGGCCACCCCCAGCAGCGCAGGAGTCCTATTGCACAGATCAGGACGCTGGGATCCGAGAGAGACCCGCCCCGGATCCGGGGGAGTGGCGGGCTGGGCCCTACCCCCACTGCCTCCCTGCGGGGAGCAGCACAGTGTGTTGGGGGTGTCTGTGGTGGGGGGGGGGGGAGAGCAGGGCGTCCTAGATCCCAAATGCTTCCTCTTCGGGCTCTCCTGACTGGGGGTGGGCGAGGGTGGTGGACAAAGGCCCTGTGGGGGAGAGACACGGCCGGCCCCCAGCGGCCTGGGAACAAGAGCAGCTTTGTCCCGCCGGGAACAATGGGCGGGGGCGCCAGGGCGGGCGTGGGAGCCCAGGGTTAAGGGGGGGGGGGCGGTGGCCGGCGCTGGGAACTGTGAGGACGTCCGGCTCCCTCCGCCGGGTCGGGCCTGGCCCCTCCGCGGAGGGACACTCTTGCGGGTGGGGGGGATGGGCTCACATTCAGACCCCACAATGGAGCTCTGTGTGCCGGCCGCGGAGGGGCGGGGGCGCAGGCTTCTGGCCCATCGGCCCACATTCCCTTGCTTCGCTCTCAGCTGGCCAGACGCTTGGGTCCTGGGGGCGGGGGAAGGCGGGGAGCTCCAGACCCAGGGGAGCTCCAGACCCAGGGGCCCCCCGGAGATGATAACTGGGGACCAGCGGTCCTAGGAAGCCCCAGGAGGCGGGGAGGGGACAGCGGCACCCTCAAGGGACAGGTGCTGAAGACTCGGGATGCTTGAGGAAGGCATGGAGGGCTGGGTGTGGGGCCGACAATCCTGGGGGGAGGGCTTCTCCTGGGGCTGGGCGTGACAGGGGTTCCGCTCCAGTAAGGTGCGGGTTAAATCCGCCCCCCGCCCGCCGCGCCCCTCCCCTCCACCCACCATTAGCATCACAAGGACGTCCCTAGGGCGGGGGAGGGGGGGCTTCCCGTTACCTTGGCAACCGGTGGGGGCCAGGCTGGAGACGTTCCTTTCCCACGACGGGCTGGACCAAGGGGGTCGGGGTGGGAGAGGGGATTGGGTGTGAGGAGGTTGGGGGGACGCGGCCCTAGGGTCCCAGGACGGGTTGTGATTTCCCGTCCCTCCCCCTCTCAGCGCCGGCATTGGCATCGGTTTCTATGGCAACAGCGAGACCAGTGATGGGGTGTCCCAGCTCAGCTCGGCACTGCTGCATGCCAACCATACGCTCAGCGCCATAGACCACCTGGTGAGGGGCCAGGCACCGGCCAGACCCCAGACCCACACCCAGACTCGTTCCACCTCCCAGAGAAATGGGACCCAAACTCAGAGCCGAGACCCCACACCTGAGACTTAGGACCCCAGACTCTGACCTCAGACTATACGCGCCACCTCCAACCCTGCCCGCCCCGCAGCCAGGACCTTACACGTGGCACCCTCAGACCCTCCACCCGGATCTGGAACGTGCGGCTCAATTCTAGACCCCAATTCACACTTAGTCTCAGCCCTGGAGCCCTGCCCTCAGGTCAGATCCAGGCCCCCAGACCCGATCTGTGCCCTAAACGAAAGCTCAGGGACCTCAGTGCTGAGACCCAGGACTCTGACAAGGGGTCTCGCTCCCATCCCCAGGCCCAGGGTTCCAGATCCAGAGCTGAGACCCAGGCTGACCCCAGACCTCAAATTTCGTGTCCAGGGCAGACCCTGGACCGTGGAATCCAGACTTAGGACCTCAGACCCAGGCAGACAGATGCCAACTTCAGACTCAAATGCTCAGGCATAATTACAGTTCTGGGGCCTTTGTCTTACCTGGGACCCAAGCCACTGACCCCCAGGGCTCCTGATGGGAGCCACAGAACATCATTCCACAGATGTCCTAGTCCCCAGATCTCAGACACCTGCCACAACTACTCCACCCCAACCCCCGCCTCCCCAGGGCATGCCTGCCTCTGACCCCAGACTCCCCCCCATGCAGGTGTCAGAGACTGTGGAGAGGCTGGGTGAGGCCGTGAGGACAGAGCTGACCACCCTGGAGGAAGTGCTGGCTCCGCGTACGGAGCTGGTGGCTGCCGCCCGCGGGGCTCGGCGGGAGGCAGAGGCCGTGGCCCGGCAGCTCCAGGAGCTGGCCTTCTGGAGGGGAGTGCCCTTGAGCCCCCTGCAAGTGGCTGAAGATGTGTCCTTTGTGGAGGAGTACAGGTGGGTGAGGGGCAATATCTGGGGACACTTGTCTAGTCATCGCAGCTCGCGAGGGGGCGCTACTCACGCCTGGTAGGTGGGGACCAGAGAAGCATCCTGCCATGCACAGGATGGCCCCCGCAGCAGAGGATGGCCTGTCCGGAGTGTCCCAGTGCCCGGGCTGAGCCACGCCCCGCTCACATCCTTGCCTCTGCCCGCTCAGTCGCTCTCCCCTCAGCCATCCATCTGACGCGTGCATCCCCTCAACAGATGTTTATCTAGCACCTTCTGGTGAGAGAGAGGGGTGCCTGGGGGTTAGGAACGTGAGCTCTGAAGCCAGGTGGCCACTCCAGGGGCTGTGGGACCGGTTACCTGTTCTGAGCCTCGATGTCCCGATCTGTAAAGTGGGAGTGATGGGTTGAATTGTTGAGGATCAGAGGCGTCCGTGCCCGTTAAGTGCTTACAACAGTGACTGGTACGCACACACCGTGTGTGTAAGAGGTATGTTTTCATAAGACAGGGCAGTGAACAAAACAGACACCAGTTCCCGCCCATCTTCCAGTAAGGGGCCCAGTAATAAACGAACGCCTGTGAGGGGTGGGTGATAAGAGCTTTGGAGAAAAGTGAAGCAAGGGCGGGGAACGGGCTGGGGACAGAGGCTGGCAGTCTGCCTGTGGCCCGGGCCGGGGCGGGGGTGGGGGGGTGTGAGTGTAGGAGGGACCTGGAGAGGCTGCGCTGAGAGGTGGTGTGTGAAGGAGGGACACATTACGTGGCTATCTGGGACGGCCGCCCTTGCCAGCAGCCCATAGGATGAAGTCCTCATTGCTTCGGCTGCTGGGAATGAGGTCTCCTGTTTATCCGACTCCGTCTGGGGGCCCAGCCCAGGTGTGGGGACAGAGGCAAGAGATGGGGTCCTGACTTCTGTGCTCCAGGGTGGAGGGCCCCCAGGGATGAAGCAGTCCGTGACGAGATTGCCCCCGTGGGGCATCAGACAAGCCTGGGTCCCAGGGAGTCCAGGTTCTGCGCTTTGGCTAGGCCATCCTTGGGCCAGGCCTCAGCCCCGCTCCAGGGGCCCCAGGCAGCCATGGGCTGAGGCAGACCCACCCCCAACAGGAAAGGTCGCTGAAAGTTCCAGTGTGAGAGCCTGTCCCTGGGAGTCCTCCCTCAGGGAAGGTGGCCCGTTTCCTGCAAGGTTACTGGGGCCCCCAGAGGGAAAGCTTCCTGGCCGAGTTCCCAGAGGCCAAGACCGGGCATGCACAGCGGCTTAGGGCAGAAGGGTGGGCTGCCCCTGATGGAAAAAGTGAGAGTGAAGCTGGGGTGCGCGGTGGGGACACTGGGAGCAAAGGCCTGCAGGTCTCCCTGAGCCACGCGGCCCAGCTCAACCCCGGGAAAGCAGGGTCCGCTAGCTACTCAGGTGCCTCAGCTGGGCATAGCTGTGGGGAACCCGGCCGGTGGGGGCCCAGCCGGGGCCCAGCTGGGGCACACCATGGGCACTCACCCGGCCCGTGCAGCGATTTCCAGAACGCTTCCGCCGTGCCAGTCCTCCGAGCAGAGGGAATCAGTCGTTAACACACGCTAACGTTGGAAGCTCCCTGAGTGATGGTCCAGCTCGAGTTTCAGGCCATCTGTGTGCCCGGCACCCTTCTAAGTTCATGCTCCTTAGCCTCACAACTCCCTCTCGGAGTGGGCGCTACTGTTCTCCCCCACGTTACAGGTGGGGAAACCGAGGCACAGAGGTAAAGCCCCCGAAACAAGGTTGCACAGGTAGGAAGTGGAGAGGCTGGCGCCCAGCTCCAGGGCATGCCACAGGACACTCAGCGCATGCCCAGGAACCGCTCACTTCACTCTGCAGGTGCCGTGGCAGGTGGCGCTGGGGGATACCAGTGGCTCATGCCTGGTGACAGGGCCTGTGTGTGGTCCAGCCGGTGACAGGGCCTGTGTGTGGTCCAGCCGGGGAGGCGCCTGGCCCCCGGCACCTGAGCTCTGAAGGGCCGCAGTGGCTGCCTCCCAGTGCACCTGCTTCACAAGGAGCCGGCTATGGCCTGGGGACAAGAGCATGAGTGTGGGGGGCCGTCCCCCTCTGCCGGGCTCCAGTCGGGCAGCCTGGGTCCAGAGGGCCGGATCTGCTGCTCAGTGGCCCTCGTCCCTTCTCCAGGTGGCTGGCCTATGTTCTCCTGCTGCTCCTGGAGCTGCTGGTCTGTCTCTTCACCCTCCTGGGCCTGGCAAAGCAGAGCAAGTGGCTGGTGATCGTGTAAGTCCAGGTGCCCTCCGAGTGGCCTCCGCTTTCCCTCCCGCAGAGCTCTGGCAGGAGGGACACTGTCCTCCTTCCCTCGTCCCACAAACTTCCAGGGAGGTCCTGGGCTGGGCCAGCACCTGCCAAGACACCAGACCTAGCGCAGGCTGGGCGGACAGAGCAGGGAACACAGGCCCTGAGGCGAGCAAAGAGCTCCAAAATCCTAGGGAAAACGATATAATGTTTGCGCTGAGGATGGGGCGGTTTCTGACTTCCCCCGATGGCCGTGCACACACAGCTCCACGAGGGAGGGACCCCTCAGGCACCTGACTTGCAGGGGTACTGCAGGCAGAGGGCTTCCACCTCTGAGGCTGCGTGGCTCTTACGGGGCTCAGGGAAACTCAAGACCACATCCTTACTTAACGGCTCATTCCGTGTGGCCAGCCCTGTTCTGGAACCCTCGCACTGACCCTTCACCCCATTAACACGGAGAGAGGGGCTCAGAGAGGTTGGGCCACTTGCCCCGGGCCACACAGCCAGGAAGAGCTAGAGCTGGTTTCCGACTCAGGCCAGTCCGTCCCATGTAGAAGAACCCCTGAATCCTCGCTACCTCTGGGGGTCCTGCTGGTGCTCCCCAGTCTCCACACACCCCTGGGTGAGAAGTCCTGCTGTGCCCTGCAGGCTCCCCCTGAGGCTGAGAGGTGGTGACCACCCTCCAGTGCTGACCCTCGCCTCTGGACCCCTCCCCAGAGAAAAACCAGGCCGAAGTTCCAGCCCTGGTGGCAGCCAGGTCTTGGAGGAAAGGTGTGGCTGGCGTAGGAAGCTGACCAGGCCATGCTCCAAGCTGGGAGACATGCTGGGACTGCTGGGCTGCCGCGGATGCAAAGCCAGGAAGCAGAGCCCAGAAGTGGGCAGCAGCTCTCCCAAAATCCCAGAGCAAGGCGGGGGCAGAGCTGGGCTGGGATCTGGGCTGCTGGCTTGCCAGCCCAGGGCCCTCTTCTCACTGTCCTCCCCCTCACTCCCGGGGAGAGACCAGATGTTCAGTTTGCTATGAACAATCACAGGTCTACTACCTGCACTCTCGTCCTCCCCCCACCCTCCAGTTTCTCTGCCCCTAATTCTGATCCTCGAGGCTCCAGAGGTTGGTAGGGAAGGAGGGCTGGGGCTGTGATGGGATTTGGGGTGGAGGAAGGGAAGAGATGAGGCAGGGAAATTAAGAACCCCAGAACCGCAAACCTGTCCCTTACCCCTTTATAGGATGACAGTGATGAGTCTCCTGGTCCTTGTCTTGAGCTGGGGCTCCATGGGGCTGGAGGCAGCTACAGCTGTGGTGAGTGCTAGAGGCCAGGCCCCTGGGTCCCTGGGCAGGTCCTGAGGGGAAGGACTTGGAGCCAGGATCACATGTTCTGAGGTCTAGAACCTGGAGACTTAGACACTTAGGTCCTAAGGGAAGAGGGGGCTGGGGGCCTGGACTCCTGGGTCTGAGGGAGGAGGGGCTGGAGGCCCAGATTCCTGGGTCTGAGGGAGGAGGGGCTGGGGGT